AAAGGCGATTCTCATTCGATTATAGGCTGCAAACAAAGGGAGGGGGAGACTGTCCGAGAATACTTCACAAGGTTCATAAACGCTACGCTGGATGTACCAGGGCATGACGAAGGGCTCATTGCTGGTGCTTTCACATGGGGACTCCTGCCTGGGCCCCTCTCGCAAAAACTCATGGGAAAGAAGCCTATAACACGAGCTGAGTTGAAAGAAAGAGTGGAGCGATACCTACGGCAGGAAGAGGGTGAGGCGGCTAAGCAGGCCTACTTGAAAGCTATGGAGACTAGACATCACCACCCGACCCACACGGACTTTCGGGGGGGGGAGACACTATAGCCAAGCAAGAAGACCGTCACCGCGCTTCCGACCATTTATCAAAGACGACAGACGGGATCGCCGCCCGGAAGTATATGCAGTGTCCGAGAAATAGCAACCAGCCAATCCGCCCAAGAGTCGGTACTGTGAATACCACAAAAGCAAAACGCATGATACAGCTAGCTGTTTGGTGCTAAAGAAGGAAATGGAGGAGAAACAACTTAAGGGAAACCTGGTGGAGGTGGCGCGAAGCCTATGCGACAAATTTGATGCTGAGAACGCCAAAGGTTCGCCCCACGAAGGAGTCCAACCCAAGGAGATATTCATGATACGCAGTAAAAGAAGTAGGGAAGAAGAACAAGGAGAGAAAATCATTGTTAAACTGCTAGCACGCACGCTCACATTCTCCATAAAGGACCCTCAGCCAGACGGTTGGAAGGGCGACAATCCTCTGATAATACAGGCATCCATCAAGGACGTGACTATCCATAGGGTCTATGTCGACACCGGGAGCTCAGCAGACATCATATATGAGAATTGTTTACGGCTCCTCCCGGATCGTTGGAAAGACAATTTGCAACCTACGACGGGTAGGCTGGTGGGATTCACTGGCCACAGCTTGTGGCCGTTGGGCACGATTCACCTCCCCTTAACAATCATTAGCCATGACAAGCAGCGGAAAAAGACCGCCCTGATAGACTTTGTAGTCATTCGGCACCCGGCGGAACACAACATCATATTGGGAAGGCCCGCCCTCCTGAAACTAGGGGCCGTACCTTCAACCATGCATGGGATCATGAAATTCGATACCCCAAAGGGTGAAGCCACGATTCTAGCTACTTCGCCTAGAGAATTGAGGTGCTATACGATTATGGAGCCAACAGAAATAGCCAAAGGGCCCAAGAGGCCCAGGGGTAGTCTGGCAAAGGAAATGAGGTAATCAATGAGGGATATCCCGATCAGCAAATCGATGTTGGAAGTGACCTCCCAAGCCACACAAGAAGAGCATTAGTTGACCTGCTCAAACGCTACAAACATGTATTTGCTTGGACCCCCACGTATATGGTGGGGGTAGAAAGGAAAGTCATCGAACATAAGTTGATGATCAAACCGGGGGTAAAAGAGGTTAAGCAGAAGAAAATAGTACAAGGAGGAGACCGTAACAGGGCAATCAATGCAGAAGTGGCCAAGTTGATGGAAGCCGGAATAGTAAGGGAGGCGACGTTCCCAACATGGATAGCAAACCCAGTTATGGTCCGTAAGCAAGACGGGTCGTGGCGCGTGTGCATCGACTTTTCTGATCTAAACAGGGCGTGCCCTAAAGATTGCTACCCACTCCCGGAAATCGATCAGAAGGTAGAGTTGCTACAAGGATACAATTTAAAATGCTTCTTGGACGCATACAAAGGGTATCACCAGATATTGATGAGCAAAGAAGACGAAGAGAAAACAACCTTCTATACAGACCATGGCACGTTCTGCTACACCAAGATGACCTTTGGGTTAAAAAACACGACGGCAACATACCAACGACTAGCTGACTCAATATTCGCCAAGCATATTGGAAGAATATTGAGGTATATGTAGACAATATGGTGATTAAGAGCCCAAATGAAGAAAAAATGTTGCAAGACATCGAAGAGACTTTCAAAACATTAGAGGTAACCAAAATGAAACTAAACCTATCCAAATGCACGTTCGGAGTGGAAGAAGGGCAATTCTTGGGTTATTATGTTACCAGACAACGCGTCCAGCCCAGCCCGACCAAGGTCGACGAGTTCATCGAGACGCCAACCCCAAGCTCTCTTAGAGATGCACAAGGTCTGAATGGGAAGCTCACGGCGCTAAGTAGGTTCATCTCAAAGTCTGCCGACAAGGCTATGCCACTGTTCCGCACCTTAAAGGGATGCATAAAAAAAAACTTCCAATGGACGAATGAGGCAGAGAAGGCACTCCAGAGAATCAAGGAGGCACTGCATAAGCTCCCAACACTGGCAACTCCCATCCCGGGAGAAACATTACAAGTGTATCTATCGACGTCAGGTGAAGCGATATCATCGGTATTGGCCGTAGAAAGGGAAGGGGAGTAGAGGCCAATATACTTTGTTAGCAGAGCATTGCAAGGACCAGAGCTCAACTACCCCACGCTGGAAAAACTGGTGCTAGCACTCATCTACGCTGCGAGACGGTTGAGGCGATACTTCCAGGCACATCAAATCGAGGTACTCACAAGCTACCCTATTAAATAGATATTGCTTAAGCCGGAGACGTCGGGTCGGCTGGCCAAGTGGGCAATTGAGCTGGGAGAGCACGACATAAACTACCGCCCAATAACAAGTATCAAAGGGCATGCATTGGCCGATTTCTTACTAGAAATTCCTGACAGAGGGAATTCGGCGAAAGAAAAGGTGTGGGTAGTTGAAGAGGCCCCTACCGTCAATGGTTCATGGACCCTGTACACGGACGGAGCATCCAGCAGGGAGGGCTCAGGGGCGGGTTTGATCCTGACTAGCCCAGAAGGAGAAGAGGTAACCTACGCCCTCCGTTTCGACTTCCATAAATCGAACAATGAGGCAGAATACGAGGCGCTGCTCGTAGGGCTGTGACTCGCCAAATAAATGGGTGCGAAAGCTGTAACAGCGCTAACCGACTCAAGGTTAGCGGTGAACCAAGTAAATGGGAGTTTTGAGGTGAGAGACCAAAGGATGGGAAGGTATGTAAAGATGGTAAAGAAACTGATTGAATCATTCGGCCAATTCACAATCAAGCAAATACCCAGAAGTGAGAATAAGAGGGCAGACGCTTTGAGAAAGCTAGCGTCCACTTGTTTTGACCACCTATCAAAGAAATTTTTAGTGGAGGTGCTTCGGGAGAGAAGCATTGACGAACAGCAGGTGAACGTCCTGACCTCCGCAGGACCCACATGGATGATGCTGTTCCGGGAATACCTCCAGAGAAGGGTGTTGCCGGACGACCATGAAGAAGCCAGAAAAATACGTATAAAGGCGCCTTCATACGCAATGATAAACGGAGAGCTGTACAAGAAGGGGTTCACGTCTCCATGGCTAAAATGTTTAGATCAAGCCAAGGGAAGAGAGACACCGCAGGAAGAACATTCAGGGCAGGTAGGCGCACACGAGGGAGCGAGGGCTTTGACAGGAAAGGTGCTACGAATGGGGGTGTACTGGCCAACGATACATTAAGACGCAGTAGAAGTAACCAAGAAATATGGGGAGTGTCAATCTAACGCCCCAGTCCAGGCGGAACCCCCGGCACCGCTAAGCAACATATCCAGCCCATGGCCTTTCTACCAGTGCGACATTGACATTGTGGGTCCATTCCCAGAGGCACCAGGGAAGCTGAAATATATGGTGGTAGCTATGGATTACTTCACAAAGTGGATTGAAGCCGAACCATTAGCATGCATATCTGGGAGGCACATGATAAAATTTGTGTGGAAAAACATCATGACAAGATTTGGAACACCTAGGGTTCTCATCAGTGACAATGGTTTGCAGTTCGCTGAGAACCCATTCAGAGAATGGTGCGCTGCCAAAGGGATAAGCCAACGCTTCACATCGGTGGCACACCCCCAAGCGAACGGTCAAACAGAGGTTTCCAACCGAACCATCGTCAATGGGATCAAAAAGAGGTTGGGCAAAGAAAAAGGGAATTAGGCAGAAGAGATACCAATAGTTCTATGGTCATACAGGACTACGCCACGAAAAAGCACAAGGGAAACCCCTTTCAGCTTGACATATGGGACCGAAGCCATGCTTCCCATGGAAGTGGACATGAATACGCTAAGGGTGGCCAACCAAGATGAGGAAAGCAATGTACAAGGCCTGAGGATAAACTTAGACATCCTGGAGGAGAAGCGCGAAGAGTCGGGAGTACGCCAAGCTGCATATAAACACGCAACAGAAAGATATTACAACCGAAGGGTAAAAGAGAAGGCTTTCAAAGTGGGCGAGTATGTTTTGAGGAAAAATGAGGCCAGTCGGGCACAACCTCATGGAAAGTTAGGCCCAACATGGGAAGACCCATACAGGGTCACAGAGGCAAACAGGAACGGGGCATATGTATTAGAGACGATGGAAGGAAGACCCATTCCAAGAACATGGAATGCTAGGAACTTGAAGAAATATTTCTTCTAAGAAATAGGAAAAATGAAACCCTAGGTGGTCGATATCCCATTAAAGATGTTGCACCTTAGAGGTACTTAGAGTACACTTATCCATGCTAAGTGACATGAGAATTGATACTCAGTGTATTCCTATATTTAAAGGCATGAGTTTAGTACTCGACATATATAAAATTTCATGCATGAGCGACATGAGCTTAATACTCAGTGTATTTCTTTTTTAAACAAAAAAAAACTAGCGGTTAAATAGTAATGCAGTTGATGATTTCTCATACTTAGTGTAATGATATCCAACGATTAAATGACGAGTGCTAAGCGCACTCAATATGAACACTTAGCGTGTCAATAATAGCAAACAAGGCAAAATATTTGGCACATCTTGAGCAATAGGCGATAAATGAATAAGCCAAGCACAAATCACAAAAGGAGATAATAGATAATGCTTAGTGCATATCAAACACATACATATAAAAGAGAAAACATTGTTCTGGGCAATTCAACCATTGCAAAGCAAAACACATAGACTAAACAAAACAAGGGAATATTATGGCCTCGAACCATCACCAACAGACTTATCACCAACCACAGCCCCCTCTACAACATCATCCGCACTCCCTTTCCCAGCCAAACCGTTAGAAACTTCGTTATCACCTGCCACCCCGTCAACACCGCCACCTCCAGCACCTGCTCGACCATCACCACTAGCACCGTAATCCTTACCATTTCCTCCCACACCAATGTCATTCACAAGCACCATTTCACGACTCGCAGCATCCTCAGGAGTGCCCTCTGAACCGAAAGAACACAACTCTCGTAAACCATTAATACCCACCTCTCCCAGACCCAACAGACCTGCGTGATCCATACTGGCAAAAGATAAGAGAGCATCACTCACGCTAACCACAGTCCTGACAGACAACGAACTAGCACTCGCCTCCCCACTTTCACCGCCACTTAAAGCTTTCTGGGCAGATTCAACCCCGGCTACATATGCAGCATGTCGAATGAGACTGATAGAATTGGTAAAGTCAGGATGCTCTATCAGCTTATCAACGATACGCACAACACCAATCTGCAGCAACCAATCCAAGTCTCAGCGAACAGCGCACACATCTACTTGCAGCGACGACACAAGCTTGTCACAGTCAACGACATCACGCTCGAGACTTTAAACTTAGATCATTAAGCCTTCATTCGTTTGGGTGAGAGAGTCAACCTTGGCCTCTAATACAACCCTAGCCTCATCAAGAACATTCTTCTCAGACGCCAATAGCTCACATTTCTTTTCAGAAGAGCGAAGATAATCACCAAGCTCATTCACACGACGCTCCAAGCTTGCCAAACGCGATCCACAGGTGGCATGCGAAGCCTCTATCTTGCCCAGGTGTGAATACACCGAGAACCTGCAACAAGATAAAACATCGCCTGTGCAGCAACATAAGCCATATTGGAAGCAAGGGCAGGATTACCCATCGCTCCCATATCCTCAATAGCAGCCGGGGGGAAGGCATGACGTGAGAATTCCAAAGCGTTGGCACGAAAAGACAAACAAGAACCGTCATGAAGATTCCAAGATGGCACAAATACTGTAGGCTTAGAAACATCGCCACCAGGTCCACTTTCACTGGAAGTCGTAACCGGCCCAGGAGGGCTGAATTCCTTCGCCGAGGAAAGCTTGGATGGAGCACACAAAATAGTTGGAGAAGGAACGGAAGAGAAATCCGGAATAACGGGCTGTTCTGTCGCCCTATTGACCCCCTCAGACTGTTGCACGTCATCATCGGGAATCACCACCACGCCAGCAGAGGTGGAGTTTACTGCCGTGGAACTCATCGAACTTAGCAGGCGAGAAAAGCTGCGCCTAGTATGCACCCTCTTGGGGGCGGGGGGGGAGCGCCAGTCACCGGCTCATCCATCGCCTGCATATCCTTCCGTTTCGCTTGCAATCGTCGAACGTCAGCAATAACACCCTCTTTGATGTCCTCATAGTCCTCCGGGGAAGAAGAAAAAACGCCGCCCGTTGGCATAACAGAAGAAATTGGGTGGGCAAACAACGGATCTCCCCCAGGCGCTGAGAAACCCGCTGGAGGGACTAAAGGAGTAGGAGTGTTGAGACGGTCTGCCCGACGAGGAGGGGGAAGATGCTCGAACAGATCCACCTCACGAAACTCCAGCTTTCCTCGATAGCGTTTACACAACACCTCATCCATGGATAAGGAGGACTCAACACCTAAAGAAAAACAGAACGAAATACAAGTCACAAAGGGGCGGCTGAAAAAAACACAGGAAAGAGAGAGAGAGAGAGAGAGAGAGAGAGGACGAATGCGACACTCACCATCAATAACAGAGTAGAACACCGCCATCTTGCCACGTTGCCTCCAGGAGGGGCTCATCCCTACCCTGGATAGGATCGCTTCGGAATAATCTTCAGCGGTTACTTGCACACTTTTCAGGTAATCGGCCACTTCCCGATTGTGAGGAAAAAGCTTAGTGATAGTATCGGCGAAAGTGTTGGCACGGTAACGGCCACTCCCAACCAGTTCCTGGTTCACCCATAACCACTTGTCTTGCCAATTCTTGGGGGTGCGCCCATCAAGAACTAAGGCATGCCCCCCTCGCCGGGCCAAAAAAGTGCACTTGTCGCCGGTAAGGCAGAACCGGAAAAAGAACCTGAAAACGAAATAGTCAGGAACATACCCATTTGCGCTACAAATCATCTCGAAGGCAACCACTTTGTTAACAACGTTAGGGGTCAACATCTGAAGACTACAACCGTCCTTCTGAAGAACCTCCTCTTGGAAATCCGTCAGAGGCAATCGTATGCCAGCATATAGGGTTTTTAGGAAAACCCTAATTTTTCCGGGGGGGGGGGGGGGGAGGAGATGCTAGAGCTAGCAGAGGGAAATTCCACACCCTCTAAGGAGGATAAACCATACATGACTTCCAACTTTCGATACTCGGCGGAAGAAGGGATGATTCCAGGGAGATTAGCCATAAAGAGGAAGAAGAATGAACACGACGAGAAAAGAAGAACAGAGGAGGCAAAAGAAACTGTGCGAACACCCTCTTAAAGGAAAATAAGAGGTGGGACATTTAAATGACTAATGTGATGATGTAACTGTCAAACAGTCACGTCACCATTAAAAACGGAGCGATGGATAAAGAAAAAAGCACGCGTCATTCAGTTAAGCCTAGAACGCCGTAACTAGCGCTGCAACACTACAACTCCTAGACTGGGGGACTTGATGGCGTGCCTAGGGTAGCACGACAGAGTTGCACCCAAGCCCTAGAGCCAAACACACCAGCCAGATCCGGCCCAGTAGGCTCAGCGCCCGCTGGCGCCCCCGGGAGCGGAACGCCCAGGCGAAAGGCTCGCGCCCGCCAAGTCATCGCTCTTCGCGCCAAGACAAAGTACGGCCAGGAGACAAGTAGTGGGATCAGAGCATTACCATCAAAGACAATGAGAGCGCTCTGACAGTGGGAGGCGCATGACCCTCCAATCAGCCCCTCTGATCCTGTCTCCCCGAAAAGCGATCCTGTCTGGTACGGACCAGGCAGGAGCGCTAGGTATAAAAGGGCGCATTCTCATGCTAGCAAGGTAAGCTCCTAAATCGATCTAAAGAGAACACAAAACAAACCCTAGAACCATCCTAACTTGATCGTCGGAGCATTCTCCCGGGAACTCCTCCTGGGAAGCGGCTGACGGCCTTTGATCTTTGTGACCTTGCAGATACACCCAGGCAAAAGGTTTCATTCTAAGATAAGAAGCGGGGTCTTACCAGGAGTAAGGTTCCATCACTATGCCAATCTAGTTGAGTTGATTATGCATATGAGTTCAACGAGTTCTCAATAGGTTGCATAAGGGCAAAAACCTTGTTCAATGAAAGTACATGGACTGACATGGGTGAGGTGCTAAATAACTTGGAAGCAATGGTGGGACCCTTGATGGCAAGAAATTAACAGTGAACAAGTTATGTCTATAAGAGTTTGAATATGTCACAAACATTATCTTTCGATTATGGTTATGGCAATTCGCATGGATAGGAACACATACACTATAAAAACCTAAGTGTCATAAGGTTTCTCTCCTTCATGAAAATGATTCTGAGGGAACGCTTTCACTAA